ACAGTATTTTCAAAACTAGATCAAAACAGATGGTTAGACTGAAAAATTGGGAACCAGACACCATTTCACCTCAAAACCGCTTTTTGTCCAAAAACTGTTTATTTGGTTAGCGAACTACTGACCTAGGCGGTCGAACCATCAACCTGGACAATAGTTTTTGTTTTGTTTTTCTAATTTTTTTGTCAAAGTGGGTCATCCGTTCAGACCGAATAGTTAGACCGTTCGACCCAGAACAGTTCCCTATCCGGTCCAATTTTAAAAACGTTGGACGGGGAGCGGGTGCCTTGCCTTGAGCTTGGCTTGGTGTGCGGCATGGCATGGCCCAAGGCCTAGCCCATGGACCAGCCCAACCCACGGCACGGCACCGACCCGTGCCAAACCGACCCCCAAATTATCGTAGAGGAGGGAGGCATGGCCCGAGACGCCTCATGGGCCAGCATGGCATGACTTGCACTTTGTGCGGGCCACATGTGGGTCGTGTCATGCCGACCCAGCACAACCCAATTTACACCTCAACTTGAACCTGCCCAATACTGGGGATGGGGCAGGAAAATTCGAGGATTCCATCCTTGATGAGGAGTGGGGTGCCTTGCCCCTGAACTCATCCGACATTGAGGAGTGGTTACCTTACCTTGAACCTGCGTGACACTAGGGACAAGGCGCGGATGGGGTAAAGTGTCTTGACTATGGGGCAAGGAAAGGGATGGGGTGCCCTGCCCTGAACCCACCCCGTTGTCACTCCTATATAATTGTTAATTATTAGTGGAATTAATAAAAATGTTAGCTTTTATAATTATTTTTATTTATTTAAAGTTAATCAAAATTTCATTTAAAAAGAATAAAAATATTAAAATTACTACAAATTATTAATAAAACTAAATTTATTAAAAAATATTTGTTCTTATTCAATTAAAAATAATTATTTTTATAAATCAACATTAAATGAAAAATAAAATTATTAAATCTTTCAGATTTTCCCGTGCATCGCATGGATCCCTACTAGTATTAAGAGATAAGAAGAGGCAATTTTCGACTTCGACTCATTTCAAAGAAATTGCAATATAAGAAGAAGCCAAAAATTTCTCATTTGTTTCTAATAAATTTTTGTACTTTTTTTAAATAAATAGATATTAATATATAAAAAAGAACAAAGTGGACCTTGAAATGGAAATCTAGGCCCAACCCAGCCCTAACTCGAAAAAAAAAATCATGTATTTAGGGTCCATTTTTGGACCCATGGACTACACAACAAGGGTAGCCCATCTCCAAAACCTATACTCCCTCCCCCAACCTTTGTTCAGCCAGGATTGGAACCCCAAATCTCCACCCCAGCCAGAGACCACCAGTTGACACCTTCGACATATAAAATGAAAGAAAATGAATAATTTTCTAAAAAATGCTATCTTATATAATTAGCCGTGCGAAAAAAGATATTTTCTAAAAAGTAAGAACTAATTTCAGAAAAATTATATTCTTTTTCGCTTTAAGGTGGCGTTTGATAACACTTTTTAGATGCCTGAAATTTTAAATAACTGCTTTTTAGGTGCAATGCTTATTTGGTGTTGCATCTGAAATATGATCTAAAAAGTATTTTTAGATATAAAATTTTAAGACTCAGGCCTGTCACTTAATGCGCTCAGACGCATTTCAGACATGGCCTAAAGTCAAAAATACCCCTACCCCATTCAATCTTTTTCTCTCTCATCTTCCCACCACCGCTATTGCAACTCTCAATAGCAACTCTCTCTCTCTCTCAAGAAGATGAGTAATAATAATAATAATAATAATAATAATAATAATAATAATAATAATAATAATAATAATAGTAATAATACTTATTAATTATAAATTATTTTTAATAATTATTAATTATTTTAATATTTTTATTAAACATTAATTATTTTTTATTAATTATTAATTATTTTTATTAACTAGTAATTTTTAATTATTGCATTAATTTTTAAAAATTATTTTTATTTTTATTTGTGTAAATTATTAATTATTAATTATTTTAATATTTTTATAGTCAGTAATTGTTTTTCTAATTTTAATCATTTCATTTATTAATTAGTAATTTTTATTTTTTATTTGTATTGTTTCAATATTATTTTAAAGTTGAAATTTATTTTTTATGAAATAATACGAATTGAACTCTACATTTCCAAATAGTATGTTCTATGGGTAAAATAGTAAAATCAGTGAATTTCAGATGGTAGAGGGTTGATCCAACACAAACAAATTTATGGATTTAGAGCCTCGACAGGTAAAAAAGTAAATATGCTTCTTTTCAGATTTAAGACAAATAATATCTTCATAACTTTTCAGATTTCAGATTTATCAAACGCCACCTAAGTCAATTTTCAAACAGATGTTGATTTTCTGAACTCACAAATAGTAACACTCAAACATTTCCTAAGGCTGTGTTTGGTTGCAATGCAAATAAATTTGCACTGATTCAAAACCATAGCAGTGCAAATGATTTGAGCGTAAATTCTGATCTATTTCTGTTTCAAATGTTAACTTATTTAGTTTGATTGCAATACAAAAAAAGTAAATTAATACATAAATCAGAATAAAGTAAAACACAAAACAAAATTAAACAAGAATTTGCATTTTTTTTTTCATTTGCGCTCCTATATATTTGTACTAATGCAAATAAAATTGCACTGCAATGAAACACATCATAACTGTTCAGACTTATTGCATGAGGAATAAAAATTTCAAATATATAATATCTTGTGATAGCCTAATTATGGATAGGAGTGGAAACAGGGCGGGTATGGGGCAGGGCACCCTCTCCGCATCCCCTCCCCGAAGCCCCCCATCTCCGAACAAATGACTTTTCCCCACTCTTAAACAACCATCTAAAATACACCAAATTCTAACATTTAAATGTAACTCTCAAAACAAAATAGGATTTTAAAATTTTGGTGAAAATGAGATTATGAAAACCTAAGCCAGATTATATATATTAGAAATTAATATTAAATCAAGAGATATTTTAATAATTTATCAGCGGGTTCAAGGTGAATTCAACAATTCTATATATATAGAATGAGCTATAGGGGTTTTGTCTTTAAAGGTCTAAACCGCTTATAAATGGACTGTTTGGCAAGTTTTTTTTTTGAAAGATCTTTTGGAAACGCTGAAGTCAAAAGACGTAATGAGATTTTGCATCAAGATCTTGACAGCATGAATATGTTTGGTTAAGACATGCTTTTCATGCGAAAATGAGTTGAGAAAAACTGAAAAACTCTATTTGGAACTTTCCAAAAGTAGCCCAAAATGAGTTTCGCACGTCTTTCTTTTCCGTGCAATGCCTTTTGACGGCTAAATCTCCACAAACCAAAGAAAAAAGACCACAACGTGGTTTACCAGGCTTCTAAATAATTGATAGACCGCACAAAAAGACATGTCAAACAGGACCTTACTAGTCTTTCATGATCTACTGTTAAGTTAAAAGATTTTAAGTGAAGAAAAACAATGAGTTTCATTTAAAGCTTTCAGATTTTTTGCCATTTTAGAATTCCATAAGCTTTCATTACCAAATAGATATATCAAAATTTCATTTTCCAAGCTTTTGAAAAACCTTAAAAAAGCATACAAAAAAGACTATTCTCTCTCAAGTTACATCGTGTTCCAAGTTTCACGATGCTACTTGTCTTATCACTAACGCTATATTTGGTTTAAAAGAAAAAAAAAAAAAACGTAAGAAATCCTTTACAAACCTTATATAGATTTTCCTACCTCTCTTTTCCTTTCCCTAATCCCTACACAGCCTAAACGTCGGTGAGGATGAATGAATGGATGCAAGGTTTTGAAACCAGTTTTATGGACCACGTGTCCTGTCTCCTCCAAGTATGAGTGTGAACAAGAGAATAGGTAATTAAATCACATTGGACAGTACACAGGTCGGGGCCTGATGATCCCACTAACTTCGGATTTCATGAATGATGAGTCCTTCCACCCAAAATTCTCGACTTTGTCTGCCCGTGTGGATTTGATATTATAAAATGTTACAGAATTCCTTCTGCTTCAATTTCGCTTAATAAAATCTATGTATTATTTTATTCATTAAGGACTCTGCATTAAGATTATTATGAGGTATCAGATAATTAGAACCCTCTTATTGGAATTCTTTTTTTCTTTATCTCAGATAGTTGATTGGTTTTTAGGCGAGGACAGCCTCTAAAGAAAAAGACCATCATAACTAGGGGTGTTGGTCAGGCGGGCTGGACAGGGTTTAAGTTTAATCTAAGTCCAACCCTAAGAAGTGGGCTAAGGCTCAAGTCCGAGGTTAAGTCTAAATTGTTCGATTTGAGTCTGGCCCGAACTTATATTTGGATTAGGTCTGTGTCGGTTTAGGCTGGTTAATTAGCCCACACTAAAGTATTTGTATATGTATTTGTATATGTATATATATAGGTGGATTGGGCTCAAGTTAGAATAAGATAAAATTGTGTTTGAATTACAATATCCGGCTCAAAAAAATAGGATTAATTTGAAGACAAAAAATATCTAAACTCAGCACTAAAATTTATGGGCTAAATTGGTCCGGGCTCAAGTTGGGCCCGCCCAAATTATACTACCCGTAATCTTTAATAGATGGATGGATAGATAGATAGATATTAGATAAGAGTTGATGGATCGTCTATGATAATGATGAAGATAGGACCATGGATGGACCAAGTGGACCGGACGGGATATCCTTTGTTGGGATTCTGAGACTTGGGAATTGGGAGGAGGAGGCGAGGAGTGTCGGTGACGGACAACGACAAGCTCCTGTGACTGTGAGGGGGTGGGTGATGTCATCTATAAACAGCGATGCTGATGTTTTAACGACGGGAACCACCCAATCCTCCATTCCCCTCCTTCTGGTTTGCTGCTTTTATCCTTTTTTTTATCCGGCTTTTTTCCCTGTTAATTTAATTTAATATTGTTATTATTTATTTATTAAATAATAAAGAATGAATAATGGGGTTTGCTTTCTTGGTCTTTAAATTCATTTCTTCCATTCTCTGCAACGCATCATCTCATATCTCACCTTTTTACTCAATCCCCTCTTTATCTCTTGCCCACTTTCTGTTTCCTTCTGAACTTCCTCTCCCTCTTCTTTGTATCTGCATATCTTTATCCCTAGCTTCTGGAGCAAGGTAATTTCTCCTCCTCCACCACTCTCTCATGGTGGTTAATGGTGGCTAATGGTGGCGAGTTTTGTAACAGGAGGTCTAGAGCGAGGAGATGGCCATGGCGAGCTGCAACAGAGGCGAGGAGCATTCAGCTTCCCAAGAAGAAGAGGTATACATCTTTCGATCTCACTCCCTCTCTCTGGTTATAAAAAGAAACCCTCGTACCTATCTTCTTAGATTGAGTCAAGTGCAAACTCAGAGCTGAAGCCTCTTCGGTCGACAGAACTGAATTGCACCCTCTTAATTACGTCAGTGCACAAAGGGATTACAATCCTGACTATGCAGCAATCTGCGGTGCAAACTCCGTCCACCCCAAGAATGAAAAAAAAAAAAAAATCATTTTTTACGTTTTCCTGACTGGTAGTATGTCAGTATTATTAGTTTAGTTTGAAATTTTGCCTTACTATTCAACGCTTGAATAAGCTTGAGCTTCCACCTAAAATGAGATCCTCAGCTCAGACTTCCGCTAATGTTCTTAGTTCTGAATCTGATGATCTATCACCGATAGACCAACCTACCCCGTCCAACGTCCATTTCAGACAAATTAAACTGGACCCCCTTCCATGAATATCTCCTCGTGAGTCGTGAGTAGGGTCGGTCGGTGACTTTAGCGTTAAATTTATTGCACACGTGTGTGACTGGTTGGAGGAATACTCAGCACCGGCGAACGAGACGAGTCACCCGGCACACAGTAGTTAGTACAAGATTCATCGGTTGTAATATCATATTTCATATATGTGTGACTGTGTGAGCTCGAATTTATTTAAATTTTAAAAAATCGGCTGAGCTGAAATCTGTTGCGGTGGTATGTTACAGATACCTACTTCTACCTAAATAAAAATAAAATTTTATCCTTCGATAGTTCATTTTATCAAATTTCACGCGTCAACCCTGATCAGGGCCACCGCAATCAGTTTTAATTGGAGACCGTTTGGGAGGATTTTTGCTTTTGGGTCTTCTTGCACATATCTTCTCATTTTTTCAGTTTTTTGGTTTTTTAAATTTGTCAAAACCTTAAAAGACCACACGAAAAGACCTGTCAAATGTTGCCTAAAATATTTAAACAGTGGTTTGAACATCTGGAAAGCCCATATTCAGATTTTCAGATTTTTATCAAATATATCTTCTGACATTCTCGGGTTAAGCCCAATTTGAAACACATCTCTTCCCGAAAGCCATTCCAAACGGGCACTTAGCCAAGCTAGCATGAGCGGCTTTAGATTATTAATAGAACGTTTTTGCTGTTCAGTGGGCAGTGGAACCAATAATGAGGTTTCACGTTAGCAATAAATTCAGAAGGTTTTTGCTGTTCAGTGGGCTGTAGAACTAAAAATAGGGTTCGACATTAATAATAAATTCATGGTCCCAATGTAAAAAGTGCAGGCCCCATGTATTTTATTAATGATGTAAAACTTTATTATTGGTTTCACAGCTTGTTAAACAACAAAAGCATAGAATCCCTCTGTTAATTTTGCAAATGAATAAGTTTTTTCTATTGATAAGGTCATTAAGACTTGGGAAATTAGGGTTTGGTTCACCCTAAAATGAAAAGGACATATCTCCAAACTCCGTTGAAATAACTGAAGTGTGATTATTAGTTCAACTCTCTTACCTAATGGGTTTGAGTGAGTTTGGAAAGGGATTTATTTTGTCCCCTTGTCCAACCCATATATCGTGGTGTGTGGTTTATCACAACAACGCTTGCCACGTGGACAAACTAATAGTTTGATAGACGACTCATGAATCTTGCACGTGGCCCAGAACGGTTGTGAGTTAGAAAGGGATTTATTTTCTGTCCCCTTCTCCAACCCATATATCGTGGTGTGTGGTTTATCACAACAACGCTTGCCACGTGGACAAACTAATCACCTTTTCTAGACAAATTTTACGTTTAGCAAAGGAGACAATGTTCAAGTTGAAGAGTTGAGATTTCAAAAGGAATAAGCTGAGGAAGGTGACTACTGGTTCAGTTGATAAGTTCTCTAAGTTGGGAACGTTTCCCACCTCCCGTTTTGTGTTAAAAGATTTGAGTTAGTTGATATGGACCAGGAAATGTTCAACAACATTGTCTTTCATTATTTAATTTTATGGTCAGAATAAGCTTTTAAATCAAGCTCTATTTTTATCTGTAAAAAGCAGGCAACGGTTGGGAACAAATATGGAGGACTTGTGCCCCGAAAGAAGCCATTGATCTCAAAGGTAAAAAAGCATTGAGTTGTCACTTTTTCAGCTCAGTTTGTTTAGGATTTGTCATGGTCTTGAATTCATTTCATATTTTCAGGATCACGAACGTGCATTTTTCGATTCAGCTGACTGGGCTTTAGGCAAGGTAAGGATATATATTTAACGAACAAATGATGTTTTTTAAAACTAGACCAGATTGGATGGTTGGACCGGAAAAACTGGGAATCGATCAGGTGATTGGTTCTGTTTTTTTTTTCTCAAAATTGAATTTTTGACAAAAATCATTGATTTTGGTTAGTAAATCGCTGACCCGGGTGGTTAATCGTTCGAATGGTTTTGACCTTTTTTTTATTTTTTTGTTAAAACGAGCTGACCGTTTGGTTTGAACAGTTCGTTCTCCGGGACGGTTTTAAAATACTTGCAACAAATAGTCATTAACTGATGATATTATGGCCCATTCGATTTGTAGCCTTGTATAGATTTAGAAGAAATTGGAAAATTACATTCCAATTCCAAATGTTTGGTTGGACAGAATTGGAATCTCATTTTTATTTCTGGTAGAATGATATTCCCCATGGAAAAGAATGGCCGGTCCCCCCTTTCCCATAAAAATAAAATCTCATTCCAACTAATTCTAACTCGTGTCTTGAGCCAAATAGAATATGAGAATAAATCATCCCGATTGCGAAAACATATATCTCTCTACCATCCACAAAAGTCATACTTGCAATCATGCCTCGAGGCCTTAAGCTGACTTGTGAATATTGGACATATCGCAACATAGGGCCCTAGACTAGACCGTGCGTTTTATGAGTATTGTAGCATTGGACCCAAGCTTTTGCCTTTTTCTCAAACCACGTTTAATGGTGGGAATGATGGGGCCATATTATGTGGTTGCCTATAGATTTTGTCGTGGTCTTCTTCGGTATCCAGAACAGTGCCACAAAGGACTGACTAGACGTGGTTTAAGGCTGGCCTGAAAAAAAGCAAATCAAAATTGCATTTATAAATTAGACTGGGTTAGTCGGCTCAAAGCTCAAACCCACTCCAAAATTCAGTACAGCTTTAAAGCCCATGTCATCTACAACCTTACAGCCTATGCCCTGTTCATGGATGTGGGTGTTTTGCATCATGATTTTGCTTGCCTATTATATTTGTCCTTGATTTAAGCATTGAAAATCAATGTTTTGAAACCAATGTGGAGGCCGATCCACTTTTACTTTTAGGTCTGGGTCACCGGTTCAATTGTTTGGGTTGAATGGGTCCGATCATACCACATCATTAAATGTATATATACACTTATAGATTTGACGTTTAAAAAGTTTTATTATTATTTCCTTTTTTTGTGAAAATAGCGGGATTGTAATGCATAGGTCTCGAAAAGTAATCAAAACAAATGATCATCTCAATCCCACATTGGAGTACAAAGTTATGGCCTCTAGAACTTCGCACATACATTGAATGTACAACCTACCACCCAAGTTACCAAGTCAAATGGATCAACAGTTGAACCATTCAAAATGGACAATTTTTTACCAAATCAATGTTTTTTTACCAAACGGCGGGCCTTAATAAAAGTGGACCTGAAGTCGAAACTGGGTGACAGTTCGAACGATTCAATTGGTCAGACTAACAGCAGGTTGAAAATCGGGAAAAATGGGTTAAAGCAATTAAAACAGGATTATGGTTTGATAAAATTAAAATGCTTATATCACGCTTACATAGCCATGAAATATCATGATACCAAATACACCCAAATTTTGTTTTTTTTTTTTTTTTAAAGAAAGTGTTTCACTGATTCCGTTATCTTCTAAGTGGAAAATGACCTAATAAGTGGGCCTTCATGTGGGCTCCCTACCCCCTAAAGAGTTCATAATCGGTATTTCAAGCCCATTTACTCTGCATAGTTGATCTAATACTGGCACTATTTTACTTTCAGCAAGTAACGGGCTTCAACGAAAGGTCCAAAGCAGCAGTGGAGACGTTACGACCGAAATTACAGGTAATGTCTACAAACTACAAATCTACAATGAACAGCGATTAACACAGAGGGATTGGTATTAGTGAGAAACTAGTGGCGACTAATGTATGGGATTTCTTTAAGGAAAGCTAAATAATAGAAATATATAAAAGTATATAATTGTTTTACATTTTTTATTTTTTAAATAAGTAATAATTATTTATATTTTATATACTATTTTTTATAATTTTTTACAATACAAAAATAATAATAACTAATTTTAGCTAGATAGGATTGTCCATCAAACCGATGAAATAGACCAATTCGACTCAAGTTGGTCAATTTTCTAGTATTTCCAAATGGCTTTGGTTGAACAGTTTCCCAACCCAACCCAGGTTGGATCAATTTCGCCTTGCCCATTTCTAAATCAACCAAAATCAAATGACCTAACCATAAATATATTAATATTTTATATTTTTAATACGAAAAAGTGGAAAAATTCTCATATTTCTTAGTCTAAAATATTTTAATCATAAACTTAATTTTTAATTTTATTTTTTTAATTATTCTACTATAGTTTTTAAAATTTAAATTTAATTTTTTTATATTTAAATCTTTTGAACCGACCGACCAAACAGAAAATCGACTCAAACCGATACAACCCAAGTTCGTTGGTTTTCAATAATTGTTAGACGGTTTCAGGTGACCAACTCCCCAACCTGACCAAGTTGATTTGGTTGGCCAAACATCCTAGAACCGAGCTGAACTAACCCGTGAACACTCCTAACTTCAACTAAATTAATAGTCTAATATCTAATAAATAACAACAGTTCAATCTCCAATAATTATTGAAAATATATTGATAATGAAGATACAATAAATAATAAAAAATATGTTAAATTAGTCAATAAATAATTTATTCTCAAATAACAATTTAATCTCAAATAAATATTAATCAATAAACTATAACAAAGATACAATAAGTACAACAAATTAAATTTAAAAACTTGAATAACATTAGTTTAATCTCCAATAATTATTGAAAATGTTCTATTAAATAACAAAACAAAAATAAATTTGTACATAATTATTGAAAATATATTTATCACAAAAAACAATAAATAATTACTGAAAATACAAAAATATTGATTTAGTATAGATAAATATATAATAAATATATCTTAAGATTTTAAAATTATTATTAATAAATATTAATTGCTTTGCATGTTTCTTTCCAGAATTATTAATTGATATAAATGAAATTAGTTATTTAAAATATTTTTTATTTTTTATTTAAATAATATCATTATTTATATTTAAAATATTAATTATTTATTGAATTTAATAATCTATAAAATTGTAATTTATACTATTATTACATAATTCCGTTATTAATTTGTAAAATATTTAATTATTATTAATTTGAATATTATGTTATAGTTATTTTTCTAGTTTTAAGAAATTTTTAAATTTATTACATAATTTCATTATTCTAACTATTTAAAGTCTAGTAAATATTTCATTATTTAAAATATTTAGTTATTTACATATTTAAATAATATATAAAATATTTAAACTTTTTTGTTGTTTGAATTTAAATTATTTTAAAGTTATTATATAATATTAAATATTTTGTTATATAGTTATTTCAATACTTTTAATGTTATTTAAGATATTTACTTATTGAAATATTTAAATATAATTTTATTGTTTAAATAACATTTGAATTGAATAATCCGGAAAACCATAATTTATAATGTTAGTACATAATTTCGTGATGAGTTTTATAAAAATATAAAATTATTAATGATGTGAATATTATTAAATCCATTATAATTATTTTTTGTATTTTTAATAAATATTTTAAAGTTATTATATCATTTTGTCAAAATATTTAAATAATTTTTAAACTTTTAATTCAAACTTTAAATAGATATGGATAACAAGTGGGAGAGAGGATAAATAGGAATTAGAGATAATTTAGGAGATAAATAGAAATTAAAGATAGTTTAGGAGAAAGTGAGGGAGGTAATTTAGGAGAAATTTTAGGAGATGATATTATTTAGGTTATTGGGAATGTGTGTGTGTGTGTGTGTGAGAGAGAGAGAGAGAGAAAGAGAGATTTTAGGTTATTTTTTATGGGAATGAGAGGATCGATCTCGTTGGTTATTTAAAAAATTCAAAAAAAAAAGAGAAATTTTATAGATTATTATGTTTTAGAGAGAGAGAGAGAGTGTGTGTGTGTGTGTAGTGGTGATATGGTTTCAACTACTGAATTTTGACATGGCAAATGATCCTCAGCGGACGCCTCACCAACAACTGCCACCTCGGAGACCTGCTTGCACAACCTATGGGGATAACTTGGTGAGTTTTATCTTCCAACCCCTATGTCTATATATTTTTTCAGCTATTCAATCTTTAGGGTCCATTTGGTTTACAGTTGGATTAAGAATTGGAATGATGTACTCCCCTCACCTGTTTGGTTTAGATTGAAATTTAAACCGAAATCAGAATGGATTCTCATTCCCGAGAGAGGAAAAGGAAATGGACATTCCTTCAAATAGGTGAATATCATTCCACCATGAATGGAAATGGGATTCCATTTTCCTCTAAAAAAGTTGAAATCAAAATGATCCTTATTCCTACAAATCAAACGGACTCTTAATTCTTTAAATTTATTTTAATTAAGTCCCGGGTCGTTGATTTTGCAGACTGAGTAGATGATCTTGTTCGAACAAGAAATTCCAAATGCTGTGCTCATGAGCGATGAAATGATATTTCAGTGAATCTCCGCTTTTAAGTACTGATTTCCAACGACAACGAGCTTCTAAGTAGTCCTGCATGGTAGAAGAACCTTTTTAAAATAATGTAAGACCTTTTTCAATAAGAATATTGCTGTCTACTGAGAAATGATCAAGCAATAAATTACAAAGTTCGTTACCTTGGAGAAAAATGAATACGCTTCAAATCATGAGACCAACTGGGAATAAGGTTGGGGCATTTATTAATTAGTGGCTATTTCAATCCGCCGCTTGGGGCACCAGTGAATTTTGGTTAAAGTCCACCTGATTAGTCCTACTTTATGATGCCAGTTGATTGGCCGTAAGTTTTCCGATATTATGTCTTTCTAACATCATAGTCGAACTTAAAAAATGTTAATAAAATGTGCAAATATATATACACAACCATTGTTACTACTGCTTATAATCTTAAAATGGATCAAGTTTCATAGAGGTGGATTCATATTTGATTTAGTTGGATCGAATTCCAATCACCCCTATCTATATTCACTTTTGATTCCATTTGCAATCCTAAGAAAAAAGGCATGCTCTCTCTCTCTCTCATGCTGCAACCCTAAACATGAGACTTGGTCTAGATCCAAACTGATTCTAATTTTACTATCTTTAATAAAGCAAGTATAAATTAGATGCTGGGTTGGATTGAGTTAAGGGCCCAACCAAAGCAAACCCTAAACATGAGGCTTGGTCTAGATCCAAACTGATTCTAATTTTACTATCTTTAATAAAGTAAGTATAAATTATATGCTGGGTTGGATTGAGTTAAGGGCCCAACCAAAACCAACCCTAAACATAAGACTTGGTCTAGATCCAAACTGATTACTTTTACTATCTCTAGTAAAGCAAGAGTATAAATTAGATGCTGGGTTGGATTGAGTTAAGGGCCAAACCAAAAGCAACCCTAAACATGAGACTTGGTCTAGACCCAAACTGATTATAATTTTACTATCTTTAATAAAGCAAGAGTATAAATTAGATGCTTGGTTGGATTAAGTTAAGGGCCCAACCAAAACCAATCCTAAACATGGGACTTGGTATAGATCCAAACTTATTACAAGACTCAAATTTGTCAATCCAAACCAATGTTTTAAAAAATGACTCGGAATCGGAACCGTTCTGGCCACTAGTATCTGGGTCGACGGTTCAACCATCCAGTTCGAATGGATGGCCCGTTCTGATAAAATAATTAAATTTTAAAAATAGCCAAAACTGTTGAATGGGTCAAACGAGTCGACAATTCAACCGCCTGAGTCAATGGTTCGTTGACCAATTCAACAATTTTTTGCTAGGGATCAGATTTGGGATAAAATGAAACCGGTTGCCTGGACGATTTCTGAGCCAAATGATCTAACCACCCGGATCAACAGCAGTTCAAAAACCATAACCCAGACTTCACCAAATTTTTTATTCAACCACATGCCTAAATTTGTCAATCCAAATCTGACCAAATATATTATTATACGTTTGAGTGACAATATACATACATACATATATTCATTGGCTTTGGGCCCATTCAAATTGTGGCAAAAGTTAAACTTCAACCCGACCATGAACATAATAAAAAATTAAAGTGGTTCATTTATATAGAATAGTGAATAGATTCAGATCAAGCAATCTGTATTTATGAATATTTGTAAAGGTGCATGGGCAAGGAGGTGCATTATGATTATATTACTTTCTATAAGTTTAAATCTAACTTTTTTTCCAGTTTCCCACATTTAGACGTTGCCTTCGCCACATCATCAGTTTCTAACCTGAACCCAGTTGCTAGGATCAAATGCGATCAAGGTATTTCCCTACCCCTACACCCTAAACTAACAAACATACGAATACAAGAGAGCCAATAATAATAATAATAATAATAGGTCGTGTTTGTTTCTCTGTTAAGTGGACTGACGAGCCAAGCTTTTCAAGAGCTGCTCAAGCTCAACTCGTGAAAAGCTCGGTTCGGCTCGGTTTCAGCCAAGCTCGAGTCCAATTCAATGGCTCGATTAATAAATGAGCCGAATTCGAGCCTACTAGAACTTGGCTCGTGAGGCTCATGAGCCAGCTCAAATATATATAATATATATAATAATATTATAGTAAATAATATATATAATAAAAATATTATAATTCTTAATTTTTAAATATAAAATAAAATTTTTATATATAATTTTTATTTTTATAAAATATATAATAAATATTTTTATAAAATATAAAACGAGCCGAGCTCGAGCTTATGAACTTTTGACTCGAGCCGAGCTCGAACTCAAGGTTCTGGCTGAAACCGAGTTCGAGCTAGAGCCTGGTACTATTTGGCTTAGCTCAACTCAAATCCACCCCTACTGAGAATCCAAGCTTTCCAACCTCTAAGTAGGGGTGAGTATTATTTGGTAAAAACTGAAAAACCGAATTGAAAATTTCAGTTTTGGTTTTTTTTTTATTTTTGGTTTTCATTATAAAATATTGTATATTATAATAAAATTCAATTTCATATTTTATATATGAAATATATATATATGTCATAATATATAATATTTTATATATGTCAATAAAATTCAGTTTTAACCGAAATAACCGAAAACCAAACCAAAAATTTTGGTTTTCTTGTAATTTAATTTTGGTTTTGATTTTCATTTTTTTTATTTCAGTTTTCAAAATTTCAATCAAATAAACCAAATGCTCACCTCTACTTCTAACTGAAATACTTATAAATTGTCAAATTAATAAATTCAAGTGTGTGTTTTCAAGGTAAGGAGAGGTTTGAGGAATCAAAAATCTATTGAATTAAGCCCACCTGAATTGGAGTTCGGATTCAGTTGACCCTTCAGTTCGTAGGGCGTGTGAACCCTCCAATAGGAGGTGTGCACGTTACCCTCTTCAGGGCAATCTGTTCCATTACCTTAAGCTTTCGCTAAGCTTGTCAGCCCGGTTCAATCGGTTAGTAAAAAACAAAACCAGTCAAACATAACACTCGAATTCTTTCCCCTCATTCATTTGACCTCTCTTTTCCCCATTTTCATTTTCACCTAAGCCTTAGCTCAAGAACAAGAGACCACCAGCGGCGATTTCAACAAGCTCCGACAACATGGAATCAACCGGCGGTATGCATCCCTTCTCCTTTTCCTTCAAACCTCGGTATTCCTCTTCAATCTAAAATTCTTCATTTCTCTTCTTCTCTAGTAACAGACCACCGACCGGCAACAAGAACCAACAAACCATGGCAAGGGCTGTGAGCTCCAAAAAGCTCATGGCTAATTCAAAAAGATAGAGTTGCCACCCATTTTTTAGAGGAAATGCACCATTATTTTTAGATTTAAAAAACTCGATTTAGGTCTTCGATAGTGATTCCGCCCTTCATTGAAAAGGCACATAGCCGAGAGATTTCAGGTCCCCAGGATTGGGAGAGGGAAGGTATTAGGCACCCATCTCTCCAAGCTGTTGTAGCAGTCCACTATGGGAGTTATCCAGTCTCAATTTCTTTTGGAGAAAAATGGAAATGGTTACAGGAATTTCTTAAATCTGGAGGAACATGCTTTCAACTTCTCCTAAGACCGATTTGAAGGTGATGTTATCAGGTTTTAGGTACAAATTTCCCTAAGACCCTCACCTCTCTGCCTCTATTCTCAGTTAAATAGAAATTACAAATGATAATTCTCCAACATTTCAGAACCTCAACCAACCCAAAAAAGCTATAAAAGAATTACCTTTTGCATGTTCCTTGTCAAAAGTTTTCCAGCAGCTAGGATGAGATAGAATGAAGTTCAAAAGGGTTCTTGAGCTAGGGAATGTTTCTAGTTGCAACAACTTCCGCTTGAAATAGAGGAGGTGAGTTTGGAATCTAGGGTTTAGAGTACCTCTAAATCTCGGGTGAACAAGAGGCAGTATATGGGCTGGAAGAAAGCTCTCTTCTCTTTTTCTCTCTTTTTCTCTTTTTGGGGGCTTCTCTTAGGTTTTTTCCTCTTTTTTCTCTTGTTTCTTCTCTTCCCATTCTTACCCCTTTCTTTTTTTCCCCCCTCCCTTGAGCTCGAATTAATCAGCATTTATAAAGAAAGGGAGAAGAGTCAGGTCTAAATCTACTCAGCTATAGTGTCTACGATTTAACATAGCTTTTCACACAAATAGGCAAAGATTCTTCAAAGAAATATATATCCAGTCAAGCATTCCTATTTGGTGAAACATTTTCTTTGATTTGGGGATGGTTTCATGGATTTTATGCATCCAGTGGGAGCTTGGGGTGTGCCTGTCATGGAAATCTTGTATTTATGGTTGTAAGTGGCAAAAAAATGAAAACTTAATGAACCTTTAATGTTATTTTATCTTTTCTTGGTCTCAAGTGGGGTTTTTTGGTATTTTAAGCTTTTTAAGCCTATTAGGCTGTTTCATTGGTCCAGGTGTTCTAATGGGACAAGAATGGGTCTGACATCATCCATCACCCTTTTGAGGCTTCAAGTTATGACAGATGATGTGAAAATTTGATGTGTTGGGTTTTTTTGGGTTTCTGAATGCAGTGGCGGCGTCTGATTGATCAAATAGGGACATAATGATAGAGATCTATGGCTAACAAGTTCACATCAACAAGATTTGTTGAAATAGAATCTCTGTTTGATGAAGGGTCAAACAAGGGAAATTTTGGATGAAATTTGGTTGGTTGGAACTTTTGAATGTCTTGAATCAAATGGAAGTGATGGATCAACCAGAGGTATAGATTTTTCAGATCATGGTCTTAGCTTATGGTTTTTCAATCAACGAGATGGCCCGAAATGGAATCTTACTTTTCTAACAATCAAATGGAGGTGTTTGGTAGTAAAATTTGACATGGTGAGGTTTTCTGGGTCTCTGACCATAGTGGTAAGACCTGATTGGACAACATTAGTTGGGATGATGGATGGTAAGCTATAATTAATGAGATTTGTTGGAATAGGACCTAGGCTTGATGGGGGTCAAACGGGGTGAACTAGAATTTGGTAGGTAGGCATGGATTAGGGTGAGGAGTCAAGTGGATGATTCTGATCTGAGAAAGATATGATTGATCTTGGTAATCATCCTAGGCCATCATAATGGAATCTTGATGTTTTTGTGGTAGGATTCGCTAATTGAGATTGCTTCCTAGTGATGTTGAGGTGATGGATATGTTGGATTTGATTTTAGGTAGTTGGAGTTTGAATATTGC